AAAAACTCACTGAAAATAAGTCTTTCTGTGATGTAAATTCTTGGAAGACTTCACAACATTTCAAAGTGGGAATTGTAATTAGTGCCATTTCATCCTTGTAATGTTTCAGATTTTGTCGTACTCTTCTAACTTGTTTCCATCTGATTTTCTTACTCAACAAGATTGTAACGAAAGAAAGCATAAAACTTTGCACCAACTGTAATGCAAATTTCAAATATTGACACTGTGACCAAGAGGACATCAGTAGTGTGCTGTATTGAAGAATTGATTTATATGAAATGTACACATCTTACTTTTAATTGACTTGTAAGCCTTGGGCAGAAAGAGAAGCAGATGGAAAATCCTTTTGGACAGTATTTGAAACAGAAGAGAGCATTTAAGAAAAGTAAATCTCACCCTTCAGTTATAATAGTAAATGTCTTGCCAATGATAAAGGCTAGGAATTTCAACAGGTTTTGAGAAGGATGCTTCTTCGGAGCTTTACAGCGATTCTTGGGCCTACATGCTTAATCATCTTTGATGAATCCTGAAATCTAATTTCTGCAAAGTAAACAGGGCAGCAGAAATAACTCTTTCATGAAGTTTAGAGTACCGATGGTTTAGGTGTAAAATAGTAGGGGAGTATGGAGGAGCTGCACTGTTTATCAACTTGATGAGGGTTTTGATACCAATCAACGTTACTTTCATGAAGTAAAAGCGCCTCCAAAGTGTTGGATGACTGTATTTATAATCACCATAGTTCTCTTTCTGTACCATTTTTGGAAAGGATACAATGGTATCTCTCCTCTCATCCTTTTATTTGGAGGGAGAGGAAATACAAAATATTCTTCAAAAGCCTGTCAGATAAAAGCCTATTTTATTCAACAAACAAAATGACCTTTAGGTAATCAACAATAATAAGCATACATGCTTTTACAACACCTGAGTGCTTTTCTCTGAAACTTTACTATGTTGCTGTGTTATTTCCATTTCACTGAGTAACATTGCATGATCCTTGATTCAGTAGAAAAGGAAAGATTTACTTAAATGAAAATATTTGCATACATTCATTTCCATTTCTTATTTGTTTTCATAATTCAATTGCAAGCTGAAAGTTCTACTGGCCTCTTTAGTAAGATGTGCTTCTGAAATCAAGGCAGATTCGTTTGGACAATATTGTTCCTTCTTCACTGTTGTTTGCCTTGCTCTATTCCAGAATTAAGGTGCTTAGAGAAGGTTTAATATGCCAACCTGTTATTTTTTAGGCTTGTTAAATATTAATCCTCAGTTTCCATGAGATAGTTGGGAAGTTAATCATGTCAAATTTGAAGCTGAAATTTGTCATATTCGTTTTCATTTCGAAAGCAATTAAATACCCAGGAACTTGACCTATTCCAACTGCAAAGTGGCATAAATGTCGTCTTTAGAGTTTAATAGAAATCCAGTTTGATATGGCCAAAAGTATAACACTTGAACAATTGTTTATTTTCCTACTTAGTGCTATGTAATTCTTCCTGCTATTTATTTAAAAACAAAACCAGCAATAAAATTCCTTTAAAGTGGTCCGTTTTCCTGCAAAGAAGTGTAACTAGCATAGGAATTAGAATTCTCAAGAATTAGGAGATTTTTCAGTTTACGATTGGCTTAGGATACAAGATGATGAAATGGATTAAATTTTTAATATGCCCATTTATATTGAGTATGGTCTATGGAAAAGTAGGCAATGAAGTTAAGTTTGAATGGATGTACTGTTTTGTAGGTGTGTGAGATACGTGAATGTTACCTTTGTTCTCACGCTATGATGGAGTATTATTTCTAAAAGACCTGGGACTATTTTGGTCTCGTTGTTGGTGCACAGGGAATTAAGCAGCAGGCAAAAAGTAAATATTACAAAGCTCTTTCATTCACAGCTTGCTTTTTCTCTTGTGCTTAGCAGGGTCTCCAACAGAGGAAAAATTGAATTTGTAATTAAAGATTAAATTGTGGTATCTATATACTTTAGCATCTTCTGAATATTAAATATTCCTTTTGCAATTTCAGGTTTTAAGGATTTTGTATGAAAAATATATAAAAAATAAGTGGAATAAAAATGCATTCTAAATTCCAGAATTACTGACCTAGTTTCTTTTTCTTTTGAGAATATTAATTTTTAATTTCTCACCATGTAGAGATGGAAAATAGTTGAGTGCTGAAATTTAGTTGGAGTCATAGAGTATGTTTTTAATAGAAATGTGGCTTCATGACCAGGTATAATTTTGTTTCTATTTCTGAATGTGCACATAGTTGAACCAATATAATTACAGGTTTGCAGAAGAAATTTGTCCTGCAGTATGGATTGAGAATTTGAATGCCAGAGATGTAGATAATAATGGAAATTCTTTGTTCTTCCTGAGATTAGCTGCACTACTTAAGACAAAAAAGAGTGAAGTTCCTTGAGTAGCTGACGTAG